CTCAGAACTCTCTAAGCTATTGTTTCAATGTGAAAGCTTTAAAGTAGATTGCTGCACATGTTTGATTTGTTAGGTTTATTTTGTTGCAATGTCACCAGAGGATCGGCAGGGAGGTTGTGCGGGAAGAAATCTAATGAGGAGCCAAGCAACACATTATATTTGCATGGAGTAATAAGATGAACAATTTTATTTTTTGTATGTTATCTACTGCTTGCAATAACCCCACATACTTTACTGCCTTTGAATGACAGTCACGGTTTGTATTCTGAGTTCATCTTTTAAAGAAAAAAATCTCATAGGAACAGCCACAAGTAAAACCTACAACATTTTGTTGTTGTTGTTCTGAGCAGGAAATCAAAATTTTGAGTTGACAGTTTTTAATCCGCTGTTCCTGCAGCACTGCATTAATTTGAGCGGTAATCCTAGCTGGATGGGAGGAAAACTTAATCCTCTCTCATTTACTCCATCCCCTATAACCATGACACTGGAATAAAGCTTTCTAAGCATGAAACACTTTCCTGACAAATGCTACACATGAAGGAAACACACACAATGGGCCGAATCCAACAAAATCATAACCAGAATAGACCCATTGGAGTCAATGGACTTCCTTTGAAAAGGTGTGCTCTGACTTTTAAAAAGGTGTGACTTATTGCAGCTCATATATGCAGTATTTATTTAATAAATCAATTGGTTTGTTTTATTTAGGTTAGAGATTTCTGAACCACCCTTCATCCAAAATGATAAATGGCTATGATGGTAACAAATATAACAAAAACAAATCCCATAATACGTAAAGAGTAAAAGCTAAAAGACAACAGCTAAAAACCAAAACACAGAATGAAGATAAATAAAAATGCCTGGGTGAACTAGAATTCCTTAGCCACATGCAAAAGACCTCAGTCCTGACACCAGTCAAACCTTTCTATGAAGGGCATTCCAAAGTCAATACGCTACTAGAGCAAAAGCCTTTTCTGTGATGCAAGCAGCAGCAATTGACTGCAGACTTTTAAGGCTCTTTCCCAAATGCAAGTGAAGACATAGTGCAGATTGGCAAGAAAGCAAGAAAGTAACTCACTTAGGACTCAGCTATACAGATGCAAAGAAAACGTTTTGAGTGTGTTTTAAAGTGCAATATACAAATGTGACACTAGATGGAGATTGTGAGCTATGGCAAATACAATATATTTTTAAAAAACTTTTTTTAAAAGCATTTTCACAGTGTTTTTATATGTGTATAGATTCCACCTTAGAGAGGCCTTCTTATTTCACCGTCAGCAGGAAAAATCCTTCAGGTATTTTTGTCCCAAACCATCTAGGGCTTTTAAATCTAAGCACTGGAACCTTGGATTGGGCCTGTAAGAAAGTAGGCAGCCTGTGTAGGTCTTTAATAATTGGTGTAATATAGCTTTGCCTACCGACAGCAGACATAATTCTTACAGCTGAGTTCTAGACTAATTGAAGCTTCTGCGTCATGTTTCAGGACTCTCCCAAATATAATGGATCACAGTACTTCAAACTGGGATATTACCAGATCACAAATCAATATAGCTAAACTAACCTTATCCTGGAGTAGCTATAGCTGGTGAACTGCTTAAAATGAAGAAAACTGCTTCTATATTGTTTTTAGATATAGAATTATTTTTTTATATGTGGCTGTAGAAGCCTATATGTGAACAGCTGCTTTCTCATCAGCTTTCTTGATGCAAACATTGTGGGTGGGCAGGTGTGTGAACAAGGAATTAGCTAAGTGGATCTTCTCTGGCCAGGAGATGAATGGTGCATCCAAAAAGACCCTCTACCAACCAAGCACATTTCTGAGACATTTAAAACATAGAATAAGTTCTCACATTCTGATCTGAGGAGGAACAGTGTGCTGGCTTAGTGTGCAGGCCAAATTTCTAAAGGTCTTTAAACAGGCTGCTCCTGCCTTTAAACTATTCTTTACGACTTGAAATGTTATGACCAGCACTTGAAATGGATTCAAAGAAATCAACAGATACATTCATGGCTTTTTGTAAAGTAGAATAAGTAACCTAAGCCACTGTTGCATGCTTTAAAGTTTTATTTTAGCTTGTTGCTTTGTCTTAAAACATAGCCAGAGTTCACACAGAAGCCTGTGAATAAGGCTTCACATGGTGATAAGCCTCTGAGAGACTGTAGCAGTTCCAAGTGGCTGCTGCTACCTACTGAGAGATTCTTTCCAGCCCTCCCTTAGCACTGCTGCTGCCACTGACCACCCACCTCCTTACTCACTATTCTTCTCACAACGCCGGGCAGATTCCAGTTTTTGGAACTGTTGCAGTCAATCAGAGGCTTCTCATCATGCTGAGTCTTCTAAATGGGCTCCTGTGTGGCAAGGAGAGCTAAATGGATCTAGCCAAAACAAAATAGATTGTCCGTTTACATTGAAGCCTAGCACTGGTGGTCATTTGTTGAGGTTTCCCTCAATAAGAAAACAGAACTCATGCATAGTAGTCATGTTCAGAATAGATTGTGCAAAATAGCAGGGCAACATTCTGAAGTCAAAGTTGGCTTATGACACTTTGTTTGCTTGTTCCTTGCCTTTCAGTTGTGACTTCCACTACAGCCCCATCACTGCTAATGGATTCAGCAAAATGTCACAATGTATGGCAGTTAATTTATGGTGGGGGGTGAAACTTTCTATTTGCGGGATTTACTCTCCTGGAGTCCATGCACTCCTTGGTTGATTTACATTTGTGAAGGCTACATGCTAGACAAATGGGGCCCATGAAAATGATTCAGAGGACAGAAAAGAAATACACAATGAATAAAACAAATGACAGGCATCTCATAAAATTACTTCTCAGAAATAATCACCAGGGTGAAAACAGGGAGGGAAATACTAACTTTTTATCTCCTAGACAATATGCACTACTTCACCTTCTATGCATCCCCTTTCTTTAGTCATCATTAATCTTATCAAAACATCAAGTACTTCAAACCAGACCTGAATATGAAAATAAAAAAAGAATAAATGAATTGGTTTGCCCAGCTACTAGCAGTAAGGATGATTCAGTCTATGTTCTTGTCTTTATTTTTTTACTTGTACCATAATATATAAACCACACACAACCTTGCAACAGGATTTATCAGTTCAGACTGAGTTCAAAAGTGTTATTTGCTGCTTCTTACATAATTTAGCACATAATTTAACAATTATAAGTTGAAATTTATACGCATGCCTTTGGATCACACAGTGACCTAGATTGCACAGTTGAGCTACAGAGATGGTATTGATTTTATTTTTTATTTTAGTGATGGGTGGGAAGAATGTCAACATCACATTATGCTGCTGCTGAAAGAATTGTTCTGGCTTCCAATCAGTTACCAGGCCAGATTCATGGTGTCCTGTATGGTTTGGGACCAAGATACCTAAAATACCATCTTAGTTCCTACATACTCTATCCATATTGTAGGAGAAGGCTTCCTGCAGATATCATGCTATCAGAACATCTGTTCTACGCAGTGTCCCATTGCAGCAGCTTGAGTCAGCTGGCCCAGTGGTTTAGACCACAGCGCCACCTGTGCCCCAAACCCTCTGGAGGAGTTCACTGTGGGCCATACTCCTAACCCTTTATCAATATTTGGCTTACCACTGACAGTGGTAACTGACAGAGCCTTCCAATGACAGTGACCAGTAAAAGAGGGGCTGGGTCATGCCTTTAATAGTGGTATAGGAGAAGGGAATTTGGGCAGATACATCCCACATAACAAACTGCGCCTGCCAAAATAGTCTCTCCTTCACAGCTCTTACAAGAGGAGAATTGGCATATCTTCAGGAATTCTTTCAGCTTTCTGACATTATGAATATAACATGATGTCTTTCATGAATGCACCAGTTTATACAATTTCTTCATTGTCACTGATTAATCAGGAATAATTTGTCTGGCAAATTATTGTTTCAGATGCTCAGTCGCTTTAGTTTCTGTTATTCTCAGGGTATGTTTCTGTTCAGAATAACAATTGGAATTACATAACAAAAAGGCTAACTAAAAATGCACCCATTTGAATTGTCCCTTTTATTTTGCTTTAAAAGATCAGCTTCTCGTTTTCTGTTCTTCTTACCATCATTTCCATCACATGGAAACAGGAAGATGAACCAATAGGCAACAGCAAATGATGCCCACCCATTTGCACAAGAGAAAACTGATTGAGCAACAGTTTATCACACACCACTTCCCAAGTAGCATCTAGGTAAAGGTAAAGGGACCCCTGATCTTTAGGTCCAGTTGTTAGGTCCAGACTCTGGGATTGCGGCGCTCATCTCACTTTATTGGCCAAGGGAGCCGCTGTACAGCTTCCGGGACATGTGGCCAGCATGACTAAGCTGCTTCTGGCGAACCAGAGCAGTGCACGGAAACGCCGTTTACCTTCCTGCCGGAGCGGTACCTATTTATCTGCTTGCACTGTTTGCTTTTGAACTGCTAGGTTGGCAGGAGCTGGGACCGAGCAACGGGAGCTCACCCTGTCATGGGGATTCGAACTGCCAACCTTCTGATCGGCAAGCCCTAGGCTCAGTGGTTTAGACCACAGCACCACCTGTGCCCCAAACCCTCTGGAGGAGTTCACTGTGGGCCATACTCCTAACCCTTTATCAATATTTGGCTTACCACTAGCCCTATATCCGTTTGTCCATGCATTAGTGTAATCGTTTGCAACCTATCAATGAGCAACTGAAATTGGCTGACCTATACCAGGGGCTGAACATTGCCAACAATGGTTCATCAGGAGTAAGCGCTGCCCATTTTTAGAAGTCTTCCATAAAACCATTTCCGAATTACTGAGGAGAGGGGGTTGCGGGCAGCCACCCTCCCAACCACGCGGGGGCGGGTCTTGCCCCCGCGAGACTCAGGGAATCCCCGGGCGTGCCTGCGACCCGACCCGCCACTCGGCGGGCTGGGGGAGGCGTGGCCTAACCTATTTAAGGCCAGGTACGCCCGGGGACCGCCCTCTTTCCCCTCGCCAGCTGGTTGAAGAATTTTGGAATTCGTCTGCTCGTGTCCCTTCCTGCTGCGCACTACAAGGAGGATCGCCACACAGGGAAGCCTTACCTGCACATCGCTGTGAAAGCAGCAAGACAAAGGAGCTTATTCCTGTCGGTGCGGCCACTGGGTGCCACGGTCTACGGAGCGACCGTGACACTGCGTTGCTTCCAGCTGTGTTTTCTCACGTTTGCGCTCATTGCGGGAGCGGGGGGCGCACGTTGATCCGGTGCCGGGTCCTCCCGTCCCTCCTCTGGTCTACCGAACCCAGCAGCATTTGGAGTACGCGAAGCAGGAAGGACGAGGTTTGACCGAAAGGGTATTTCGTTTTTAGCTGGGCTTAATTTTCTTCCTTAATTGCTGGAGGGGGTTTGTTTAATTTACGCCGCAGGAACTGTGCGCAAGGGGCTTACTCGCTTTGCTTAAGTTCCATTTAGTCTTCGAGGGGGCTTCGTTGGTATCTATTGTAGTCTTTGAGGGGGCTTTGTTTTGTCGACGCCGCCAGGAACGGCGCGCAATCGGTTTTCAATTCTAGTGATTTTTCGTCACTTTTCAGAAGGTTGTTTAGTTTTATTCTCGGTTCACGCGTTGCCAGGACAACGGCCATTTCCGGAGGCCATCCCTTGAGTTCACGTGGTTCGGGCTAGCCGCAGCAGCCATTTTAAGTGGTACATCTTAGCTCACTTCAGTTTGCGGGCGCCATTTTGGTAGTGGCCACGTGGTCGGACTGGGGCGGCCATTTTGATAGGGTCGCGGGCACCATTTTGGTGGTGGCCTCGTGGTCGGGCTAGGGCGGCCATTTTGGGCGGCCATTTTGGTAGGGTAAATAACAGTCGCGGTTTATCAGCATCCTATTCTACAAATCAGCAGCCTGCTAACTTTCTTCAGTATTTTATCTGTTACTTCTTACAGTGCCTTGTTGTTCGTTGATTTTAAGGCTTTGCCCTAGGCCCAGAGGTGCCGCCTTCATGAGTCTGGGTGGCTTTGGAAACTAAGTTAGTTATTTAATTACAGTAATCCAAAGAATTGCAAATTGATTGTGCTTTATTTGCGAAAGCAATTCATTAGGGGATCTGCATTTAATTGGGACTAGTAAAATAAAAAATACAATAATTCGGTTGGTATTATCGAAAATAATTTATTAAATAATAATAATAAGACTAATAATAATATTAATAGAAATACAAGGATACACAACACATAGATCATATTAATACGCATATACCCAGATACTGTACGTTTAGTAAAGGAGAATAATATTACTAGTGTTATAAGTAATAACAGTGATTATAATAATAATATAAAATTATAACAGTAATAAGAATTAACAAATAACTTCAGTAAAGCAGGTTATATAAATAAATAAATAACCACGTTTATTTAGTGCTAGGAAAACAACAGTTACTTCGTTTGGTTGGAGAGCCCGGCAGTTACGCAAGCGTAGCGGGATACAAGTGATAATTAGAGAAGCGAGTAGACACCAAATAAACTAAGCCAAATAAATAAAAATAAATAAAAATAAATAAAAATAAATAAAAATAAATAAATAAATTCAACAAGTAGCCTAAGGTGTAGACACCAAATAAACTAAGCCAAATTTAAAAAAAATAATAAAAAAATAAAAATAAATAAATAAAAATAAATAAATAAATTCAACAAGTAGCCTAAGGTGTAGACAATACTGAGCCAGGTAGACACATAACCCCGCTCCCACCCCTGCTTGGTGGTAGAGTTACAGGGTAGTGGGCACCGGTTGCTTGTAAGTCCTCTAATATCATTTAGGTTTCACATCTATTTGTCTTGGCTTCTGGTGGGGATCAGCAGGCATCCACTTCGGCCAATCAGCAGGCACCTGGCGCAAGTAACGGTGGCGCACAAACAGGGGCCATGCCCTGTGATCCGCAAGCCTTTGCTCAATTCTTCCAAGCATTTGAAACATTTTACAGGCAATGTAGGCCCGGTGCTATGGTTCTTCCCGCCCCTGAACCCTCACAGGAGGTAATACCGGACACACCCCCTAACATGCAAGGGCAGCAGGTATTGCCAGGCCCTTCAGGGGTCAGCGTACGTCCGGAAACGTCTAATATGGTTCGGCCAAATACCCGTGCTCAGGCAGCCATTACTAAGAAAGCAAACCAAAACTCGGGAAAGGGTAAGCCTGCAGCAAAAGGCCCCGGCAAGGGTAAGTCTAGGGCCAAAGCGTTAAGTAGAAATGCCACCTCACAGGCAGTAGACATCCCTAGCGTGTTCCAGGAACAGCATTCCCAGCAAAGCTCTACAGAAGACAGTGAGGGTTCCGGCTTGGAGGAGGAGCAAAGAGAATCGCAAGGGGTTCAGCCAGTGGCCGATGGGAATGCAGTCACCGCGGAGAAGCAGGGCGGCAAGCGCAAATCCAAGAAGAAGCACACGTCCGCTAAGAAGAAGAGAAGTAAGCAGTCCGAGACGGAGGACGAGTCAGGTACGTCATCTTCCGATTCAGATAGCGAGGGACCCATGGATGGTTACTGGGGTTTAGGTGAGGGGAATCATGGGATCCCCCTATGGGCGCATGAAAGGAGAGCCAATTCTCATCGCAAAACTTTCAATGGAGTGCTTGATTGGAAAGATGGGGCCCTGGTGGAGGATGTAAAGGTTGCTACCAATCAGTCCACCGATTTTATTTTGGGGAATCATCTATCCGAGAGGAAGAGGAATAAGATCCTTAATGGCGAGTATGTGGACATATTCACCTTGCTTCCCCCCACTAAGCTAATGGGAAAAGGTGAAAAGAGGCGTTCTTCTGGTAAAGGGAGGTACAGGACCCCTAGGGCCGAGCGCACCTTCGAGAATTGGTTGGATGGGTACCAGGTTTTCATGGGTGTTGTTTGCGCTGCGTACCCTCGACGAGCCATGGATTTGGTCGCTTATTTAGCTCACGTAAGGCGGGCTCACTCGCTCGCTGGGGAGCACGCCGCTTTAACTTATGATGAGAATTTTCGTAGAAACGCTTCCCTGCTACCTTCCACCCGATGGGACCTAACGGACCCTAACTACTGGGCCGAGGATGTCAATCCATACATCGAAAGAAAAAACCAGGGATTGGTCAAGGCAGGTAGGACGGAGGTAAAGCGGCGTCGCCTCTGTTGGGAGTTCAACAAAGGGGTTTGCTCGAGAGCGTCTTGTAAGTATCTGCATGAATGCGAACAGTGCTGGGGAAATCACCCAGCCTCCGCATGCTTTAAGAGCAAACAGCAGCCCTTTCGAGGGGGCAGGGGGTACTTCCACAACGCCAGTAGAGGTGCCCCCGGATCTTCCCACCAGGGACCTGGGAACAGACAGTAACGTACATATGGGTCTGGCCTTCTCCCCCGTCCGCCTTGAACCCCTCAAAATCCTGTTAGATCAATACCCTAATCGGAAAGCCGCACAGTACCTGTGGGAAGGGTTTTCCGAGGGTTTCAGAATCCCAGTAGCTTTTACACCTAGCACCGGAGAACCACAGAACCAAAAATCAGTTAGGGAGAGACCAGAGATAGCCAGAAAAAAGATCGAAAAAGAAATTAGGGCGGGTCGGATGGCCGGCCCTTTTCCCAAGCCCCCCATACAAGACCTTCACCTATCCTCCCTGGGCATTGTACCAAAAAAGACCCCAGGGGAGTTCCGCATGATTCACAATCTCTCTTACCCTAAGGGTGGGTCAGTCAATGACGCGATCCCTCAGGAGCTTTGTACAGTAAAATACGCCTCCTTTGACCAAGCGGTAAAAATAATTCGCAGATTCGGAAAGGGGGCGCTTCTAGCCAAATGCGACATAGAGTCGGCGTTCCGACTCCTCCCCGTGCACCCGGCAGATTTTCGCTGGCTGGGCTTCAGGTTTGATGGGGCGTATTTCATTGACAAAGCAATGCCCATGGGCTGCTCCATAGCTTGCTCTGCCTTCGAGTCTTTCAGCACATTTCTAGATTGGGCACTTCGCTTCAGGACTGGGTCCACGGGTGTGTCACACTACCTCGATGACTTCATCTTAGTGGCGGAAGACAAGCAGCGTTGCTCCGCCCTGCTGGAGGCTTTCACGACCCTGGCTGGAGATCTGGGGGTACCATTGGCCGCGGAAAAAACTGAGGGCCCTGCCACCTCATTGGTCTATCTGGGCATTGAATTAGACACCGTCGCCCAGACGTCTAGGCTACCCACGAATAAATTGGACGCTCTTAAAGTCACGATACAACAGCTACTGCCTTTAAAGAAAGTTACCTTAAGGCAAATTCAATCCTTGCTAGGACACTTAAACTTCGCCTGTAGAGTTGTGTCGCCCGGCCGTCCATTTTGCGGCCGGCTTGCCAAATTGTCAGCAGGTCTCAGGGCCCCACAGCATAGGGTGCGCCTGTCCAAGGAAGTTAAGGCGGACCTAGGTATTTGGCTCCAATTCCTTGACAAGTACAACGGTGTATCCCTGTGGCAGGATTCCATGGCGTTTGGCGCCGATTTTCAGGTGCACTCGGACGCAGCAGGCTCACTGGGTTTCGGAGTTTATTTCAGGGGTCAGTGGTGCGCCCAAAGATGACCTGCGGAATGGCAGGGGCAGCCTATCACGCGTGACCTCACATTTCTAGAATTTTTCCCTATCTTGGTAGCCGTGCATATTTGGGTAGACGAGTTCCGCAATCACAGGGTTTGTTTCAACACGGATAACCAGGCGGTGGTAGCAGTCCTTGCAAGACAGTCTGCGCGCTCCACTAGAGTAGGAAATCTGTTAAGGTCCTTTGTCCTCCTTTGCCTGGAACATAATATTTACTTTTCCGCCAAATTCGTGCCTGGCTGTGTTAATGACATTGCGGATGCTTTATCTCGTTTCCAGATGGAGCGCTTCCGCTCGCTAGCCCCGAATGCGGAGCAATCATCGATGTCTTTCCCGGAGCATCTCTGGAGCCTTGGGAACAAGAAGTGATGAAGGGAGTATTCGGTGCAGTTGCCCCTTCCACTATGAGATCGTACGCGAAGGCTTGGGCGGATTTTCTAAAGTTCCGCAGCAAAACCCCCAACTCTAGGTGCAATTCGATTCCGTCAACAAGAGAGGTACTCCGCTACCTAACCCACTTGAAGGAGCTGGGCAGGGCACCTAAGACTCTCAATATTCAATCCGCTGGTATTTCCTATTTTTGTAAAGCCTTCTTTTCAGCTGACCCGTGCGCGCAGTTTATTGTGCGTAAGACCTTGGAGGGTTGGCGTCGCCAACACCCTCCCAGCTCCGATAAGCGAAAGCCCATTACCTTCGACATCCTGGTCCAGTTACACAAAAAACTGCGCGAAATCTGCTGGTCGAAGTACGAGGCTCGCCTATTTTCTGCAGCGTTCTCCATAGCCTTTTTCGGTGCCCTGCGCATTGGTGAGGTAGTATGCGAGGGAGGAGTTGCTCACTGCCGGAGGGGCATCCTCGTGAGCGATTTGACCCTTTCGGAGTCCGAACTTATAATTCAAGTTCGGAGCTCCAAGACGGACCAACAGGGAAAGGGGTCGCTTTTGCGGTTACCAGCAGCACAGGCTAGGGGCCCTTGTCCGGTAAGGGATACCAGGCGTTTTCTCTACTTAAGACCCAGCGGCCCCAGCCCTTTGCTTATTCATGCGAATCGGTCGCTATTGGCGAGACATCAGTTTACGCGGGTGATGCGCTTGGCGTTGGCAGCATGCGGGCTGCCCGCGGCCGAATTTGCGGCGCATTCCTTTCGGATCGGAGCAGCTACCACGGCAGTGCACCTGGGTCTCTCCGCTGAGAGGATAAAGGACTTAGGGCGGTGGAAGTCCAACGCATACAAAGCCTATTTAAGGAAGAACCTCTGACTAGCGAACGTACTCCTGACCTGCTTTTCTTTGTCCATTTCCTTTTCAGGTTACAAGCGGGTACGCATTTGGTTGGTGGGCCACAGCATCGTGCATTGGGCCAGGAATCGTGCCACGTCTACCGGTTTGGGGCCGAACTTGGGCTTGCCAAAAAACGTGGAGCTGGTGTGGATAGCGCGTAGGGGCATGCGCTGGGGTGAATTCAAGCCGGCTGTGATGGCGAGAGCTGCCGCAGATGGTCCACCCGATGCATTGGTTATCCAGTTGGGAGAAAACGACTTAGCATACCGGAAGGCTATTGATTTGAGAGGGAACATTTTTGATGATTTTGCCCATCTGAAGGCGGTTTACCCAAATATGGCTATTTTATGGTCCTCGTTGCTGGAGAGGAGGACTTGGCGCGATTGTGTGAGCCCGGTTGGAATCAATAAAGCAAGAAAGGTCTTGCAGCGGGCTGTGGAACATAGAGTGGCAGCTCTGGGTGGGTGTGTCATAGGTCACCCAGACATCCAGTACAGCAACGAGGCCCTCTACAGATGGGATGGCGTGCATCTGTCAGATGCTGGAAACGACATTTGCCTTAGGGATATCATTGCAGGGATTAGGAATTGGTTGCAGTTTTGAAGGTATTGGCGGCGAGCTCCGCTCGAGTGGCGGTTAGGCATTGGCAGGGGTTTACTGTTATGCAAATGAACGGGAGGGAAGGAAGTGCCATCACCTTCCCCCAGAAGAAGGGTAGTCCGATAGAGGACTCCGGGGGGCGTGGCCTTGTCCGAAACCTAGGGAGGTAAGGGCCCCGGCACGCCCCCGAGCGGTGACACCCGTGGGATCCTAGTTGGCGTACTTCAACAGGACCCCCGCGGTTTGTGGTTAACCCTTCCCGGCCAGCATGCCGGGTAGTCGTTAGGTGCCAATGCCTAAGGCCAATACCTTCATTTCTGTAATCAATAAAGTTGTGGCCTTTTTATACCCATTAACCTTACATTATGTGTCCAGTGTCTTTATTTCTCTTGGGGGGAGGGGTCTTGCCACGCAAGCTGCATTATTCAGACAGGCCTTCCAAACCTTTGCTAACCGGCTTTTACCAATGTGTTTGACATTTAATTGTTTCGCTGTGGCATTTTTATTTTTATTTTTATTTAGGTTGTATGAAACCTTGTGATGTTTTATGGGAAAGTGTGATTTATATGTGCCTAAATAAATAAATAATAAACAAGATGTTCCTGTGCACAAGAAATAATGTTGGTGTCCTAGTCACATGGAAGCTTACACATGAGCAGCTGCTTCACTGCATACAAACACACAACTAATGTGCGGATATCCATCCAGAGGCAGGGTCAGCAGCATTCACAGTGCCAGAGTTGGAGCTAGGAACATGGCCCCATTCTGCAATAACAGTGCAATGCCCCCGTTACATGAGTAACACTATGGGGTGGGGGTTTAAGTATGCTTGAGCCAACTGAAATCAGTGGTTCAGGCTGCTTTTATTCTATTAACTCTACAGAGCACACAATCCAGCAAAAGTATGCTTATGTTCTCTGGAAGACAATGGAATATGTGGATGTAACTGATACTTTCCTGCTTCCTATGATGGTCCCCAACTCTATGGACAGCATCCCAAGGCTTGGGCTGGTCCTAATGGCAGGAGCAGTGTACTACTAATGACCTCACACTGGCTTCTCTAAAGTCCCCCTTCTCACATGGGTACTGTGAGTTCTTTGAACTCAGCACATCAGCTCATATGACTGAGCTTAAATCAGCATAAGTCCTATTACATCAGTTTAATAGCACCAGCTTAAAATTGTCCATCTAGCTATTAAATATGGATTAGCTATACCATCTTCAGCTAAATACAAGTCATATAATATGGATTAATTCTTTCCTTGGAAAAACTAGGGCTGTGCTGACTGAAAAAAATTCTACTTTGAGTGGGTAGGTGTGAGAAAGATTCTTCTGTCCCACCTCAGGAACAGTTTGGGAGAAGTCACATTTTGTTTGCTGCTGTTTCTGCACCATTTAATATTTCTGGCTAGATTCCCCCCCTCCCAATTTGGTAAAGTGATTCCATCTAATTAAGGATCATGCTAGCATCATTTTGTGTTGGTCAGCTTTCATTTTATCAACTTTCCCTTATTGCTTTTTTCTTATTACTAAAAAAATAAGTAATAAGCAATTAAGGAACGCGTAATAAGGAAATAATAAGATAAAGTTTATAAATTAAACAAGACCAATACGTAGAACTTTAAGATAGTTCCAGAAATGATGAGCACACTTTTCCTCCAGCAATAGTTATTGTGAGTTGGGTTTTTTTTTCCTCACTGGAAAAGAAAAGAAAAGAAAAGAAAGATCTGTAAGGGCTGTAAAATCTGCCTCTCAAGTCAAGGAGAACACATCTCCCTGTAATAGAATAAATTAACCTACCCATACTTTTCTTGCCTAAAATGTTTCACACTGTGATTTTCCTGAAATCAAGAGAGCTGTTTGTGAGTTAAAGGGGACAGCCT